TTCTCATCTCATTTTCTACAGGAAGAACAGCCCCAGACACTTCATCCTTGAACAGTAACAGCCTTTTCCTCCCCCGTGTGTTTGCTCCCATTTAGAATTCAGAGCATCTTATTTAAATCCATACCTTCAGGACCCCACAGCTGGATACCCTGAATTAGTCTCAAGTGCAAATCTAGTACCTGCAAACACACAACTGCACAGGCACACAGTGCTCATCTGCCTTGGGTTTCAATTTCAAACATCACCTTTTCTCAGCCCTGCAATATGCATTTATGTACTCCAACAAACACTTGGCAACACGGATTTTATTTGTGCACTATTTTTTTTGTGCATTAATTATCTCTGCCCTTTGATGGCTGTCACTGTACAGGTACATTTGCAGCTACAGCTACAGTCAGCTCTGCTGTGGACTGGGAAATCACAGAGCCACCCCAAAGCATTAAAAAATAACTGGTAAAACACCCCCCAACAACAGCAGCCTGGTGCTGTGAGAGGCAGACAAAGCACAGCACTCCCAACGCACGTGAGCTATAGGAAAAGATGGAAAATCCTCCACATATAGAGAGGATTCAATCAAATAAAAGCCTGCAACATACACAGAGGCTTGCTGTACAAGGGGTTTCCACCTAAGGGAATCATCATTACAACCTTCCAGGATAGGCACTCCCCAGTGGAGGACTCCAGCCCCATTTCCACCACCTCATTCCTAGAAAAGTGACAAAAAACCCAAAAAGTCTAATTTGAAGACTGTGCAAAAGCTACAATCTGAGAAACAGGTCACATTTTGAGAAATCTATAAGGAAATAAAAAACCACTAAAAAATTAAAAATTATGAACAATATTCCCAATGAATAAATAAATGTGGTTTTGCCATCTATAAACAGTCCAAGAACAGCCAATTCCTCCTTCAGGAGAAAGCTTTTTCGCTGGGACTTACTGCTTTTTATTGTGGTTTGGCCAGCATTTCTGCAGATCACATACACTGCCATAACAAGCAGAAACTGGCTCTGGTCCCTGCACAAGTCACTCAGTTCAAAGTGCATCCTCCACTGGCAAGAGCAGGCACTTCAGAAAACCATCCAGAGGGAAACACCACCTTTTGCTGTACCACAGCAGCCACACAAACATCCTCCCTGCCAGAATCAGAAGCATTCCAGCTCTTTATATCTCTTGCTCCCTCAGCTTCCTCTCCTCACATCATTTTCCTTTGTGCTCCTCAGCCTCCCTGATGGAATGGCCTCCAGCAATTAAATTTTCCACCCCATTTGCTCTAAATGACAAAGGATTGAACACCAACATTAAAATGATCGCTATTATACCTCAGCATGAGTCCCCCAGGGAAATCAGAAACCTCTCACAGGCATAGTTTTAATCTAAAATTTTAAACCAAAGGTTATAAAATTGCCAGCTCCTTCCCTCATCCCTATTTTCCCTATTTGGAAGCTTTTATTCACATCCATAATGAATTCAGCCTCTGCTAAGCACACCCCCTTCTCTCCCCACAGCTGTACCACACCAGGTACCCAGTATTCTTTCTCAAAGCTCATGTCATATAATGCAGGAATTGGGAATAAAGAACACAAGAGCCATCATTTTTGAGGCTTCTTGTTGAAGCCAAATAAAAAAAAAAAATAACAACAACAAAAAACCCCAAAAAACTTCAAAAAAACCCACAGCCCACTCTATTTAGGTTCACTGTTTATTTTGGCACTAAACAGAAAACTCGTTATAGGAGCAGGGAATTAAATTTTGAAAACTGCAATAAAATATTCTCACCCAGAGAAAAATAATCCCCAAATAAGACTCTGCTCCCCTGTTCAGAACCCACACCCTGTTTTCAAGCACACCTGGCAAGCTAAGATTGTCTTAATATACAGGCACTCCTCAAAGAATAAATCCCTTTATTATAGGTGGGAAAGGGGAGAAAAAGGAAGGAATTTTACTGTCCCATGTGGTAGGATATATTAGCCATTGCTCAAGGCTTCAGTTCAAAGATAACCATGAGAAACAGTGAGCAGTCCATGCCCTAAATAAGAGCAGAGGTACAGTACCTGCCATGGAGGAGACATGAAACAAGTAACACTTGTCCTCAGCGACACACATCTGGATTACAGCTGTTTTGGCCATCCTCCCTTTGGTGTATGCTGGTGGCCACTCGATGTCAAAGCCAACAGCAGCCCCATCTGACAAACTCTGCCTGGAAAGGAGCAGACACCGCCCACATTTACCTGCTGTCACAACTCCTGGCACCCCCAGCAAAGGCTGTGACTGCCCACGTCACACGTGCAAGGCACAGAAAGCTTTTCACAACCCACAGCACTTGCTGCTGGCCCACAGAGCCACCTGAAATGCTCCAGAGCCCTGCAGATCTGCCTGCTAAGACTAGCACACGGCTGGTAAACATCTGCAGGTGGTGGGTGCAGAGAAGGACAGGGAGAGGACATTCAGCAAGCACGCCAAAATGAACTGATTTCTTGCCACTCAAAGCAGAGTAGGGCAATGGGAAATAAAACCATCTCCAAACACCTTTCCCACACCACCCCCTTCTGCCCTAGACTTCCAAACTTCCTACCTCTTCCCCCCAGCAGCACAACAGGGACAGAACCTTTAACCCCCACTGCTAAAACTTGGCCACACAGGCCTCAGGGACAGCCAGAGGGAAAAGATGATGGAATGGCTTTTATTCCTTGGAAATGTTCTTGATTCACCCCATGACCCCTTGAACAACAGCCCTTTATTTACCCCACAGCACTGGAAGTTTTGCACAGAACTCTTTTTCCCCAGCAACATGAGCTGTGCTACACAAAAACAGGAAAAAATAATAATGGATTTGCACCATAAATACAGTCCCAAGTTAGGAATTAGCATTTCTCCATGAAGTCACTGAAGCTCATGGAATTACCCATTCTATGAAAGGCAATCAATCTGATATTGGAGCCTTCACAGCTTCTACTCTGAGGGACAGAAAGGTTCAGCAATGGCTTTTCCCACCAACAAGGCCAAATGGGAAAACATTCCCAAGAGCCCAGTCCCTTCCAAAAAGAAAGGTGCACGCAAAGGAAAGAAGGAAAAAAATGGAATATGAGCTGTTACCTGATATCTTCTGAGAGAAGGGAACAGTCACTGGCTTCGTAGCTATAAACAACAGAGCCACAGAACTCCAGGAACGGCAGCCCATCCTCCAGAACACTCCTCGGGGCACCAGACTTCCAGCAAACCAAATTTGGGAGAGATTGGTTATCTGCCACACCTGTCCTCACATCCATCCCACAGCCCCTTCATCAAAACATTTGGGCTCCAGCCCCAGCTTCTCCATTGAACTCTGAGCACTCAGTGAATAAAAAGTCAAAATTGCTGTTGTTTCACCTGATAACTTTTAATATCCAAGCTGCTAACCACTTACTCATCAACTAATCATTTACTACCACTTTGTGGAATAAAAGCTGCTGAACTGCAGCCTCTGCTTTCTCCATCCTCCATTAATTAATTAATTATCTAACTGTTGAAGCTGTTTCAGGTACAACAGGGATGGTCCCTCCTTGAAGGCATTTTTATACTGAACTGCTCATGCACACAGGAAAAAAAAAAACAAAACAAGGAACACTTAGGGGACATCAAAAACTGATAAGCAATTAATTCAGCTGACCCAGCTGCAAACCACCATGGAATATTTAACATGTCAAGGCCACCAGAAGGGCCTTCCCAGAACCAACTCCCCAAAACTGAAGGGAGGAGAAATCCCCCATCCTCACTAATGTAGAGCCCACATTCCTGGGAGAGCAGCAGGAACATCAAAATTCCCTTGGAGGCACAAGCCTAACTAAAAGCACATTCCCCAGAGCTGGGCTGTTCTGCAGCCTGCAAAAGAACCAAGACCTACCTTTTTGTGTCCTGAAGAAGCTTCCTCCTGGCTCTCTGTGAGCATCCACTGGGGATACTTACCCCGCAGGCCAGCAGCTACCACATCCATTTTTGGCACATTTCTGTGATTAATGAAGAGAAGAACAAGAAAACAGAACAGTCTGCAGCTCAGGTGGAGGTCAGCTATCACTATCATCAGGCCTGAACAAGGTGATGGAAATATTTTAATTTTTAAATTGATTTTCAAGGCTAAGCAGACTTCTCCCTTGGGGTGCAGCAGCACAACCGTATCAACTCCAAAAAGGATTCTGGCACCAAAACGTGGCAATAACTTTCCTTTATAGCCACTCACTTTATTATACTGGAACTGCCGGGAACAGAAGAGTGCAGTGCAGAAGCTTAAAATAAAAGACACCCTGCAGCACCCACCGCTCCCAAACCAGCTGGAAGCTCCAGCGCACTCCTGATACCCACAAACGATCCCGCATCCCGTCCCGCCACAGCCGCACCCACCTGGCCAGACCGACGCCAACCTCCGGAGCTCGGGAGCGCTCAGCACCCGACGGCGAGCTGCCAGCCAGCCCGGGACTCCTCGGGATAACCGGCAGGGGACACGGAGCCGCCGACACGTCCTCACACAACAGCTAGCGCGCCTGATTTGCCACAGGACAGAGCACCCTCAGCGCTGGGCGGGCTGCCGGCACCCCCTCGGAGCGGCTGTCCCCCAGGGCTCCCAGTGCCCTCACCGCTTCAGGTGCTGTCCGCCAGCTCAGCAGGCCCCGAGCGCTGCCAAGGGCTCTGAGCGGGCCCGTCCCGCCGCCGCGGCCTCTCCGCTCCCGGTGCCTGGGCGCGGCCGCCTCCCTCACGGAGCCCGCGCTGCGCGCACATTGCGCGTCACGCCGCGTCGCGCCGTAAATACGCCACAGACGGCGGCCCGCCTTCGCTCAGGTTACCCGAGGTGACGCGCACGCGCGGTGCTGCGCCGGCCGCGGGGCACTGCGGGTGTTGTAGTCCCGCGGCCGTGAGGGCCGCGCAGCCCCCGGCGCCCCCCGCGCTGCCGCCGCCGCCGATCTCGGCCGGGCGGAGCCGGGGCGGGCCGGGGAGGGCCGGGGCGGGGCGGAGCGGGCGGCGGGGGAGCGCCAGCCCGTGGCTCTGCGCGGCGGGGGGGGCGGCGGGGCCGCCGGCTGCGGGCGGTGGCGGCGGCGGCGGCTGAAGGGCAGCGGCGGCGATGGGCGCTGCGGGGTGAGTGACCGGGCGTGGGGAGTGCGGCGCTGGGGGGCGCGGAGGGGCAGCGGGGTAAGGGGGGCAGTGATGGGGCGGGAGATTCTGTGCTGGGGGGCGCTGGGGGGCCGCGCTGGGGCACCGGGAGCGCTCGGGGGCGGCACTGGCAGCACTGGGGGGCACTTTCGGTGCTCTGGGGGCAGTACTGAGAGCACCCGGGGGCACTGCTGGGAGGGCTGGGGGGCAGTTCTGGGGCACTGGGGGGCAAGGGTGAAGTTGTGGGAGCGTTGGGGCAGGAGGTGTAGTGATGGGGAGCACTAAGGGGGCAATACTGGGGCGCTGGGGGCCGGGGGGGCAGCACTGGGGCAGAGGGGAGGGCAGGGGGGCACTGCCGGGGGCAGTACTGGGGACACTGGAGGACTGTGAGGGCACCAGGGACAGTGAGGGGCCGGGGAGGCAGTGGGGCAGTACGGGGGAGGAAGGAACTGAAGCCTGGGGGGCACTGGGGCAGGAGATGCAGCGGCAGTGGGGGCTCCGTGGGTAGCGGGAGCAGGAGGGCAGTGCTGGGGGGAACCCCAGTGCCCGCCCGTGCCTTGGGAGGAAGAGCAGAGGGGGAGATGGAGGCACAGGGACAGACCCTGCCGAGGGGAGCCGCAGCCCTGGCAGAGGGGTGAGTGCCCCCCGAAACAGGGCACCGTAAGCCGCCCCCGTGGGGCAGCTGGAGGGGCTGTAGCACCACAGGGGCAGGACAGGGGGCTGCAGGGCAGGGAGCGTTGCCGGGGAGTGCCGCTGAAAGCGGGGCTCCCTTGTCCGGGAGCCGGAGCACGGGAGGGGAAGAGCGCCCGGGATCCTCGGGCTGCGATGCTGCGTGCCAGTGGCAGCGGAGGGGGATGCAGGAGCCTTTGTAGGGAGAGCGGCGCCGAGCGGAGCCGCTGCCGAGGAGCTGAGCAGGCCCCTGGTGCTGATGTTGTCATCTGTGTCTCTGTTGTGTATTATTTCCAGCTGATTTGTAAAGATGGAAAGAGGGAGAGGAGGAGGAGGAAGGAACCTGGGAGGCTCTGGCTTGCACAGGAATATTTATTCCCAGTCCCAGCAGCAGTACCACTACCCGGCCTCCTCCCAGGGGAGCTGCATGGAGATCCAGGAGCTGGCCTCCAAGAGGGTGGACATCCAGAAGAAGCGCTTTTATCTGGATGTGAAACAGAGTTCCCGAGGCCGCTTCCTGAAGATCGCCGAGGTCTGGATAGGAAGGGGCAGGCAGGACAACATCAGGAAGAGCAAGCTGACCCTCTCCTTGTCCGTGGCTGCCGAGCTGAAGGACTGCTTGGGGGACTTCATCGAGCACTACGCGCATCTGGGCCTGAAGGGCGGCCATGGCCACCGGCACGAACACAGCAACGACAAGGAGCAGCATCCCCGGAGGCGGCCGCAGCACCCACCGCCCTCGCCCCCGGTGTCCGTGGGCTCTGAAGAGCCCCCTCACAGCGTCCTCAAAACGGAGTACATCGAGAGGGACAACAGGAAGTACTACCTGGACCTGAAGGAGAACCAGCGCGGGCGCTTCCTGCGGATTAGGCAGACCATGAGCAGGGGACCTGGCATGATGGGTTACTTCGGCCACAGCTTGGGACAGGAGCAGACGATCGTCCTCCCGGCGCAAGGGATGATCGAGTTCAGGGATGCTTTGGTGCAGCTGATTGAAGAATACGGCGAGGGGGACATAGAGGATCGCCGGGGGGGAGGTGATGAGCCCCCGGAGCTCCCCGAGGGCACCTCCTTCCGAGTGGACAACAAGCGCTTCTACTTCGACGTGGGATCCAACAGGTACGGCATCTTCCTGAAGGTAAGTGAGGTGAGGCCGCCCTACCGTAACACCATCACAGTTCCCTACAAAGCGTGGACACGGTTCGGGGAAAATTTTATCAAGTACGAAGAAGAGATGAGGAGAATTTACAACAGCCATAAAGAGAAAAGAATGGATGCCAGAGGGGACAGTGGTGAAGAGCAAGAGGGTCTGGAATAGAGTGCATTGGACAATTAACCAAACAAAGCAAGCAGAAATTGGTGAGAGGGACTGACCTATAGTAATTCCAAGTTGCCCCAGTTTTTTGTAAAGTCCTTTCCTGGTAGTTCTTGCTAACTCCAGTACATAATGTTATAGGAGTCTGGTTACCACGTTAAAACTATGCCCAAAACATCTCCGTGTGTCTTAGGAAAGGACCAACCTCCTGAGTCCGTATGAGTCAGCTGCTTCAAGTGTTGGAGACTGTGGAAGTACGAGTATCAGCACAAACAAAATCCGGCACCCTGACCTTTAAATAGTCTAGAAAAGGCTAGTGTTGCACTTAAACACGATGCAAAAGTACCCCCACCCTGAACCTTACGATGAGATGTATCGGTTTCTGCTTATCACGAGTTTTTCAGGACTGGCTTGTGCCCGTGCCCGGTCCAAAGGCCGAGCAGCATTGCCGTAGAGCATTTATGGCAAAAATCAGCTCCACATGAATCTCTGGTCTGTGTGTGAGGAGGGAGAGAGGTTTGAAGGTTGGCGTCTCCTGGTTATTGAGTTGGAAACAATAGTCTGTTTATGGGTAAAGTCTCAATGACCCGTCAGACCTCAGTCACGTGCCGGTGAAGGGCGGAAGATCTTTCGTTCATGTTCATTCCGTAGTTTTGTGCTGACCAGATCACCTGAGTATCCCAGGAAAGTGGAGTGCTCAGCCTTCTGAATTAATGGCAGTGAATAATAACCCACTCCTCATCTCCGTGTTCTGACCATTAGAGGCTGGTGATCTTTTCTTTTTTTTTTTAATGCATTTTGTCTGAAATTTCAGAAGGTATTTTTGTATTAGGCATTCCAGCAGGCAGCTGTGGGAGCGGGTGTTGGGAGGTGCAAGGAACGCCGCAACTGAGGCTCCCAGCTTGTCTCCCAGATTAACATGGTTCGGGATGTTACCTGTGCAAGGGAAGCGTTTGGGTGTTTTCCTCCTCCCGCCATGGGGAAGACCTTTGGGGTGTTGGGTGCACAACTGTATTCTTGTAGAAAGGCATCTCTCATGCTCACCCATGGCGTGTTTCGGAAGCTGTGGTGGATGCCACGTTGGGTTTTCTGTTGTGTTGATTGTGGATGGTGTTGGGGAGACAACATCTCTGCCCTGCCATCACCCCCTTCCCCCCCAGCTCGGAGCTGGAGCTGTCCTTGCTCCAGTCCAGATCTGTTTTCGGTGTCATCCTGGAGTCTTTGTGATGTAAATTTTAAATCTCGTGATACTAACTCTCTGCCTGGAGGGGGAATGTGTGCAATTACCTGGTTGGGAGGTTGGTGAAAGATTCTGTGTTTCTTAAAACGTGACTATTTATAACATAAGGGGCTTGTTCAGCCTTTGGACGACCAGCTCCTTCCTCCTGAACCAGTGGGAGTTTGAGCTCCAGATACTTCTAGTAGCGTGTTGCTCACCTTTAAGATTGTTTTAAGCAGACATTACCATGTCTGATATTTGTAATCACTCAAAATATTTCATTACAGAGTGGCCTAGTGTGCATGTGGACCAGCTATTTTTCCATGCAACCATGCCCTGTTTTGTTTTTTTAACCTTTTGAGAAACATCTTTATCTCCAAGCAGACTGTTCACCACTCTGAGTCTGGAGCCACCTGCACACTGCATGGCCACGCTCAATCCGAATGCTGTTGCCTGTTAATGTCATAATGAGAAAGGCTGAGGAGACAGGGTTGGGAACCAAGAGGATAATCTGGATTTTAGCTTGGGTACTAAAACTAGTCAATCTGTTTTAACTTTTAAAAAGGAAAAAAAAAAAAAAAAGAAAAAAAATAACAGCTTGCACCAAAGTCACCAAAGAACCTTTAGGAAAATGTTACAGTTGTGACAAGAAGTAAGAAAGTTAATTTCACTGTTTTAGGTGATTCCCCCTTTAAAACCACATATAGCAGTTACAGCAACCAAGCCTTTGGTTTAGTATCAAAAACTCCCATCCCTTTCTCCATAGGTTCCTCTTTCAGGTCCCTTTTCAAACCTGGAAGAGATGTTCTCGCTTCATCACTCAAACAGCCAGTGGACAGTGATGAATCAGCAGGCGTTGTGCGGGGTCCTGGTTCATCGTCGCTCTTACAGCTTTTGTCCCAATGGTTTTAACAGGTTAATTTAAAAAACCCCACAAAACCCCACGTTAAAAGAACTCCACATCCTGTTCCGGTGTGAAACCAGAATTTAGTGAATGAGTGGTTGATGCATTGATACGTTAGCGTATCGCTGACTGCTGCTGCCCGTCACAGTGCCTGAGGTAAAAAATTCACTTCTAGTCCAACAAACCGGAGCTATGAATGTACGAACTTTTTACGCTCTCCTTCCCATTCCTGTGTGGCATTCCTCCCCGGTGAGCTGCTTGGCATCTCCCATCCCTGCCCGCCTTTGCCTCAAGGGATAGTAAAAGCTCCTGGGTTGGAATTAGCCTGAGTGGCCATGTGTGTTGTAAGTGCTCATGCCTTCCCTGTGTTCCTGTAGTGTTGGTGAGGAAATTACTCGTGATTAGAAAGGGATGTTTTCTTCACCGTTTTAAAAGATGCAAAAAAGGATGCAGAATTGCTTTCCTTATTGCTGCCCCTTTTTTAAAAAACCCCTTTATCTTTTGTTAATGAATTGGCCTTCCAATGCTGTTTGTTTGTAAATGTCACCCAGGAATCCAGCGATGGCCGGCTACCGGGCCGGCCTGGGTTCTGGCACGCAGGTATCCCGTAGGATCCGCTAATGCATTTACTCCCCTGGCACGGGATGCACCTTAGTATCCAAACCTGGATCGGGATCTTCACGTTCATTGCCGATCACTCGTGGGTAGACCAGCGGCTGTGGGTTTCCATCACAATGGAAAGCATCAGTGTTGGGTTGGAGGATGATGGCTTTCCATGCGATGGCAGGCAGATGTTGGGCTGGAGGGTAGGAGGGATGCACTTGGAGTGTAGCAATGCAAGACTTGAACGGTGAGATTCGAAAACGGGTTCCTTTGTATTTTGGCAGTGCGTCTTCAGCTTCCCAGAGCAGTGACCACACGGGCTGCTGGTGTGCAGGAGGGCCCAACAAGATGCTCGGGAACACTGAATCCCTGATGTGTTTTAAATGTTTGTTCCTGACGCCCTGAAACTGCCATGTCCCTTAAACTTGAGAAAACTCAAGCTTATTTGCACTAGAAAGAACGGCCAAAAACAATCCTTAGGAGGACAGGGTGAAGAGCACCGGTCTGAACCTCTTTTTCTCATGAGAGAATTTCCTATTCAAGCCCTCACCTCTGTTTCAAAATTGTACGGTCCCGGCAGAAAGTCTGTCAATTGAATTATTAAATTCTAATGCACTTTATATTGTGTAAATAATGCTAGGAGCACATTTCTGCTCCCGCTCCGGTAAGGGGATGCTTTGGTAACGTAGTCTAATGCTGAGAGAAGCCGTCTCCTGCATGCACGTGTCTGTTAGAGACCTGTTGATCCTGCTTGGTCCAGCTCCGCTCGTATGTTAGAGGAGGACAGGCGCTGTATTGAGGATCCTCTCAAACCACCAAGAGTGGGATGATGATTTGGTTTTTTACATTGCAATGTGCAGAGCTGCTGAGCGTCCTCAGCTCGGCCGTCGCAGCGGCTCCTCGCCCCTTCTGCAAACTGGGCTCCCCCGTGTTGCTGTCAAGGCTTAAAATCGAGTTTTGCACTTGTGCTCTTGACAAAGCCAAGTCCAGCAGCTGCCTCGTACCTGGCTTTCCCTGCTGCTGGTGCAAAAGGCAGGATGAAAAGCTTATCCCAGATGGAAGGGGATGGGGGTCTTCCCCTGTATTGCAGCTGCAGGGACGTTGTGTTGGGTCCAGCTCACGGAGCTGGCTTTCCTGGTAAAGTACAGAGCTGTGGAAGGGTTGGGAAGCGTTTTGCACGGGTGTGGAGAGGGAAACCCACCGGGCGCTGCGGGGGGGATGGCGAAGCCCTCCCTCGTGGGCTCCTCGCGTGCAGCCTGGATGGATGGTGGACTTTACCCAGCGAGAAGCCGCAGCGGTTATTGGTATCTACTTGTCGTCGTAAGTGTTTCTTATCTGTATCCGATATATACCGATTCATATCCACGTATAGGCATTAATATATTTATGTGAGTATATTGTAGCCTGTAGTAGCTCGTAGCGAAATAACCTTATTTATCTGAAGTGCAGTCTGAGGAGGGGGCGTCTGCTCCTGCCACCGGTCTGGATAAACGCGTTATTCCACACAGGGCTGGGTGCAAGCTCCTGGCCACAGCCCTCATAAGAATCCCATAGGTTTTTGGCAAGGCTGCAAGGGAGACATAGTTAAAAGAAGGCAAAGCTCTTCCTTGGAGGCGTCGTTGAGGCGAGGTGAGAGCTGTAAAGAGGCAGCTGTCGGCCACATCATGTCTGCGTGCCATTTTACGACCCCGGCTCTGCAAATCTGGACTGCCGTGTTCATAAAATCCCAAGCAGAAGTATTAAAATCACGTCCTTTGTACAAAAAAGAACCCCCGAGCAATTATCAAAATCAATGTCAGCACTTTTTTTTTTCATCTACAGATGTCCTAGTCTGATAATTGCATCATTTTTTTCCCCTATGGCCTATTGAAGTGACCTAAACTCCCAGGGAAGGGAGCTGCTGGTGGTTAGGAAGCCTTCTGCTTGCATGACTTGCAGTCCTGTTTTCCAATTTTAGTAATTTTTATAGTAGAAAGGAGTTTATTATTGTGTATTTTTATTGGGCATATTTTGCACCGGATCAAAAATTATATAAGCCTTTTCAGTTTCATGGCATTCCCACTTTTGCTGTACATACACTAGATAGATGAGATTTATGAAAGAATTTCTGAAGAAAATTAGACTTTCTGTTTAATTTTCTATGCTGCTTACTCCAAAATTAAGTTGCCCTTTATTTTTAATGACTTAACATTAGACATTGTGATGTCTAAAATTCACCTTTCCCCTCCCACTCCTCTATTCATTTCAAGTAAAGGTTGTGTTTGAAATTTAGTTTATTCAAGAAGGAGTGGAATTAAAGGCTACACCATAAGCTCCACCCAAGCGAGGCTGTCACATCACGGCCTTTACCAAAATGTATTGTTTTGGGGTGATCTGGTCTTGCCTTAAAAATGTCCAAATCCTGTAATAGGAAAAAAGCCTCAGCTAGGGGACAAGGTGCTTGTGGGGATTTGAAAAAAGCTAAAGCCAGATCTTTCGCTGTTCTCTTCCTCCAAAACCTGCAGAAGCTTTCACGGGCTGACATCAATTTTTCTTCCTAATATTTTGTCAGCCTGTGTTCAGTTCCCCACCTGCACCTCAATAAAGGCAACAGTATATATAAAGCATCGAGGTGAAGTAAAATATCAAGAACTCCTGATAGATGACATGGATTAAAAATTGGTTTTCCAGAAATGTCAAAGCGTAAATTGAGGTTTTATAAGCCGGATGTCGTTTTGGCGTTTCTGTGATGGATGTAATTAGATCGCTCCTTCCCCGTGCGGAGGGAGGCGTCACGCGGAACCCGAACCCGCAGCCTCCGGGCTCTCTCCTGTGCACCAACTTCTAGAAAGGTGCAGATGCCTGCTGGCTTCTCATGTCTGGTGAATGTGGTTGTGTTCCTACCAGCCTAGCCTCCAGGGGCCTGGCTGCACCCCCACAATAAAACCGTCATTAACGACTTGCTAATTCATCTTCTTAATTGCTAGGCTGCACAGAAACGCTTGGAGTGGCACATGAAAATTGCTAGCTCTGCACAGAGCCGAAACTTAAAAAGGCATATTCTGTCTTTTCGGGGTTTTAGACCCATCCAACACACCAGTATTAAACTGGGAGGGGTAATGGCTCCTGCCCTGGAGCTGTTGGTTGGACACCCAGACGATCGGATGGATTTCTTGACCGCGGTGGGGGAAATCCATCCGGCAGGCGGGAGTTTGCATCTGCTCTTGGTCCTGATCATTTGCCACGCAGAGATTAATTGGAGGCAAAGATGGCCCTCGGTGGCGGCTGCTGGCAGCCGGAGAAAGCCGAGGCTTCGTGCCCAGCCCCGCTGGCACAACATCTGTGAATTCATGTGTGGGCACAAATGAACGCAGAGGAGAGGGAGAGAGGAATATTAGAGATATATATGCACGGACATATTGCAAATACTCATTTCCCCCCTGTTTCCAATAGGTCCTTCCCTTGGAGACATTAAAACACTATCTGTCTCTTCTGTTTCCCATATTGGAGATGTTCAGCGTGCAATAGGAGCAAGATGGGTTTCACAAGCAATATCAACATACTCTACTACTAACCTTAAATCTTTACACTGCAAAGCGCGTGCAATAGAATCTGCATTTCAAAACAGCAGAGAGTATGTGGGATAAAAGACACGGGTTAACCCCAGGCTCTTACAAGTATTCCCATCTGGTCCTTGTTGGGAGCACATGTTGTTGGCACAGTGCAGAGGGAGAGGGGGAGTAAGAGCAGAGATAAGCGCTTCCCACCAAGGCAGAGGAACGAAAAGGCAGGAGGGGGCGGAGGGAAGCGAGGACAAGATGCGTGCTCCAGGGAATCATAGAGCACAGTGATGGTTGTATCTGTAGTAGGAGGAATAGGCGGCACCTTCAGCACGGGAGTCCCACAGAGCTGGGGAAGGAGACACAGAGCCTGGATCCTAACGCTCTTTTTGGGGGCCTTTTTGGGGTGGTTCTTTTGGGCTGGTGCTCCTTCCTCTTTGGGATCAGTAACACACTCTGCAAGTGTCTGCTCTTGCCAACAAGCCCACCAAGGCTAAGCGTGTCCTGCATGTCCTGTTACTGCTTTTGCAGCTCTTGGAGGCTGACATGGCTGGGCTCTTGCTGAGCTGGGAGGCAGAAGCATAGAGTGGCACTCAATTGTTGGTGGCCTGTCAGGTTTGCTGGTGCCATCCCAACTTATGGGTGTTTGCGTGTGCTTTTCACCAGAGCCTTTGCTCCGCACACTACATCAGCTGCCTCCCACTACAGGAATGAGTGATGGAGTGTTGTGTGTATTGATGGGGCAGCTGCTCTTTTCCACTGCCAAGGAAAGGGGTTGTTGAAGGCTGGAGGGGATCAGATGGGAAAGAAAGTGGCTTTCAAGAAGCAATCTCATGCCTGCCTTTGCAAAGGGGTTTGTGTCGTTTCTAACAAGACTCTGCGGATGATCACCACTTGTACCGCCTTTGCATTCCTGGGCCTGCCCCTCTGAGGTCTGAGGTGCAGCAGAGGTCAGTGTCAACAGCTGTTGAAAGCTGTGCTTTGAGCCACTGAAGTGCTGGAGTAATTGCCTGGACTCTGGGAAAGCTATCAGTGTGTGGAGCTGGGATCGCTTTGGCTTTATCCTGCCTGTGCCTGTGTTGTCCACCACTAAAAAGGGGTGGATGATACCTCCCTACCTCAAAGGAGTGTGACAGTTCTTGCAATGGTCTGATGCTGATCAATACTGATGGTATGCGAAAGCGAGACAGGGAGAAACGTGGGGTGAAATGTAGTGTTTGGAAGGTTTGGAACCTACCTGACTCTAAACTTGAATTTGCAAGTGCAAGGGTGCCTCTAATGGTGCATTTCAGGGCCACGTACAGAACAGAAAGCATCCATATTTTTCCCGAGTTGAACAACCTGGGAGAAATCTGCTCTTTCAAATCTCCCATGCTGGATATTCCCAGCTTCCCTCCCTAAGCTATTTCACCCTACTTCCTCTCAGATGCTTTTCCTGTCCATGTGTCCCTTGCTTCCATCAAATTCTATTGCTTTTTGCCTTACAGGCCATGCTCTCCAGAGGAGTTATAAAAACAGTTTTGTTTCTTCCCTGCTGCAGCTCTTACACATAATTAAAGGCTGTTTGTCAGGTCTGTTCTGCATCCTTTCCAAAGGAAATACAGAACCTTCCACCAAGCGTAATTTTTTAGCCCTGGTTCTTGTTGCTGTCTGGTGAGTCTGTTCAAACACAAATGTAAGGAAAGCACTAAGTGACAATATAAGCTCCCTGTGCCAGCATGTTTGGAAATACAGGTTTTCCCTTATGTTCCTAACTCTCCCAGGATTGTGTGTTGTCATCATATGAGAAGTCACAGAAATATTGGCATGAACTTTCCCTCAGTAACATTTTTAGTGCGAGGAGATCTGAGACTTCTGTGTAGGTCCAGTGAGAGAGAAGCTCCTCCTATCTAACATTGTCACCAATCCACATGAATAAATGATTTATATTCATCCAGCAGCTTCCAGAAGGGCACATGTGTCAGGCAGCTATTTCTTCCCTCCTCTTCCTAGGGAAAAGGCTGGATGTGCCAATGCAGCCCTGGTGTTTTTAACATAAATCAATTATCCCTGCTGTTCCATGTCAGAGGGGGATCTGGAGCGTTGTGTGCTGGCAGCGGCGGGCCCTGATGGTTTTGCAGCACGAGAGCAAACCTCAGGGCTCACAGGGAGACCAGCCTGGCCTTGGCATCATTCCCACCACTTCCCTTGGCAACTGGTGTTGAGCAGGAGCTGGTTTGTCTTTGGAAGTTCCCCGTGGACCCGTGGCTGTTTTGGAAATTGTCATTCTTGCTTTGGGCACGGAGGAGGTTGCTGTGCTGCTGCCTGCTTGGGAAGTACCTGATGGAAAAAGAGAGTCTCTCTCTCTCTCTCCCCCCCAGGAAGCTGGCAGGGGGAATCCAAGGCCAGAGACCTTAGGCTCTGGGAGAGAGGTGACAGAGCAGTGCTCTGGAGTGAATGCAGCTCAGTGTGCAGTCAACAGGTAGATGTGTTTTCTTTGTGTTATCTTCAGCACAGCTGCTTGTTCTTTCCTTCTAGGTGTTTGAACACTCCTGAGATCTCTATAGGGCTGCCTAGAACAGGAATCTGTGAGGGAATTGAGCTGCCTCCAAGGATGGTCTCTCTCCTGAGACTCCAATAAACATAGCAAAGTGTTTGAAAAGTGGAGCATTGTGCTGGTGGGACTTTGAAAAGAGTTTTTCCCGGGTAGGTGTCACAGTAGGGGTGAGCAGAGGCTCCTGACAGCCATGAACAAAGGGCAAGGACTTGATGTAGTTCTTGGCAGTAGGATTTATCCTAGATTCAACAACTCAGTTAATATGCACATCCCTGTAGTAACTGATGAAGTTTTTTAATTTAAGCATTTTTAGTAATCTCCCCCATCCTGGTAAAATTAGGGAAGGAGTTTTTTGGCTGAAATGTTTACCCGTAAGCTGAGAATGGGCACCGTGTTTCACAAGGTGAATAAAACTTCTGTGCCTCTTACCTCAGAGCATATCCTTTAGGCTGGCATTTTATTTCTTGTTCCATCTGGTTGCAAAACATCAAGGTCACTAAAGCAGCACAGGAAGAAGCCCCTGTAGGTGTCTATATGGCTGAGTGCATAGGGACATTCTCCTCTCACTTTGCTGATCCTGCTAGTGCTGTTCCTTCTCCCTGTTGGATCACCAAGTTCATGTCTTGTGCATGACCTGGCTTGAAGGCCCTAAACCTCTTTTTTTTCCTTAGAAGTTCAGCATCTTTTTCTTAAGCTTTTGTTATGAATCCCTCTTGAAATGTTGTGCAAAGCCTGAATGTGCCTTGCTTCCCTCCCTCACTGTGCATTTGCTAACTGCTGCAGCCAATGTAGGACAAAAAGATGTGGAGCTGGTTATATTTTTCCCAGACAGTCGTTTTGCTCCGTGTCTGTTTTGGTGTGCTCTGGCCTCAACCATTCCAGGGATCCTGTTCTGCAGCTCTCACATGCTTCTGCAGCTGTTGCATGGGTGGTGGGGCTCTGGCAGACATTACCTGTAGGCTGGGGCAGATTCTTGGGGTGAAGCTGCAGCAAAGCAGGAGTTCTTTAACCCTGCAGTCAGCCATTCCCTCAGGGATGGCTGCCACGTGGAGTAGGGCTGCATGAAGCAGTTACCTGGGGCAGATCTGCTCCTGTGCTGGTGGCAGACTCGCTGCTTCCTCCGAGCAGCCGGCACCATCTCGCTTGTAGGCAATGTCTGACAGCTTCCCCAGGGATGAGCTTTGCTGCATCTGCTGCGAGTGCTGCTCTGAGCTCAGACTCTTCCTTCCCACCACTCAGTGGCATGCCTGGATCCTTTGTTATGTGTAACCTCAATTTGGTTTCTTTGAGCAGTGCCAGGATTTCATTCTCCCCGGGACATTTAAATGGGGTGCGGAGTAATTAGAGTCACTTTTCTCTGCATGTGTAATAGCAAATGCTTCCAAATCAGTTTGGGAACCGACCCAGGGGTTTGATGTGGGTTTGTAAATTCAGGCACGTGGGATGAGCGTGCCCACAGCAAAGCAGGAAGATGTGAAGATAAGAGCTGTGCCTCTGCCAAGCTCCTGTCTACTCTCTTGCAGTCCTATACTGACTCCAGTTGCTGCAGTGGGACCACCAGCACCAGGAACCACCAGAGCCTGCCCATGGGACCTGGCTCAAAGTGGCAGCAGACACCTGAGCTAGGCAAGGCACAGCCACCCACAGGTACTGTGTATCCCGTTACAGCTCAGAAGGGAAGTGTCAAGAGCTTTATCCTGGATGCCACAGGAGCCCAACTCTTTCAGCTTTCCTTTTCTGCCTCTGGGACTTTCACCTCTTGCCTGGCACATCCTCTCTGGAGCGCCTAGAGGCATGTCTGTCCTGGGATCAGTGTGTGCCAGCATGCATTGTGCACGTCCCCCTCTCCACAGCAGCATTTCCTGCTGATGTCAGCACAGTCATCCCTCAGCGCTGCCAGGGGTAACCCTTTGAGCTAACCACTGATAAGTTCCTTCTAGCTGTCTTATTAAAAAAAAAAAAAAAGAAATGAAAAAGAGGAGGGAGGTGGTGTAGTCGCCTGATGAACATTTTCATGTATGCTGCCAGCTCTTTACTGTGGGTTACCTTGGTGAAAGCATATTGCAGAGACATTTCTTTTAAAGAGAGCTTAAAACTGTCTGTTTAGCAGTGTGTTTTTTGTGCTGTTATGTGTGAAACCCCAAGAAAACCCCCAATCCAGAGCAGGAGGTAGAGGTGATGCCCATTTAACTCCTGCCTGCAGCAACAAGCTGCAGTTTAACCTGTTGCTTTTCACACCTCTTTCCCGCTCCTAGGAGGCACCTTCTAAAGCTGGGATAACCTCCCTAAACCTCCCTGCTCAGGCTCTTCACAGAGGGAAGTTCACCCTCCTCCTCCCCACTGTAGCCCTTGAGCTGTTGCAATAGCCCTTGAGGTGCTGTCTCTCCTTGTTCAAAACCCCTGCTGGCCTCTTCCTCTCAGCAAGGCTGAAGATGCTGTGCAGAACAAGCAAGAGAGCACAATATGGGGATTTTTCACTTGCCTCAGCCTGAAAACCAGCTTCCTCCAGGCTCTCAGTCTTCCAAGAGCTTCCCACCTTTCTAGCCAAGCGGTTTGTTTGCTAGAAGAAAAATTGGTAGCTTTGTGCTAGCAATAACCAGAGTCCCCTTTCACTAGCGCAGGCATTTTCTCCTTTGAATTCTGTTTGAATGCAGAAATGATTGTGAAATGAGAGCGGTAATATTGGGAAAGGGGAAAGCAGAGTGTTCCTCTGGATTGGGTTTGATACAATTTGAAGCTGCTTGTGAAAGATTGGCTGGAAGGTAAACTGATTTGGGCTTAAAAAAGATGGTGCTGGTAAAGTGTGTTAGTGACTCTTCAGCAGATGGTCCAAAATAGCTTTTTTATGGTCTCTGACCTCTAGGAAAGATAACTGGATTTTTGATCTTAGATTGAAGGGGCAATTTCTGATGGAAGAAACTTGTGTTCTTTAGAAACCATCCCAGGCTGGCATTTACTGTCAAAAACGTTTCATGGGAGCGTACAGAAAACAAGCGAAAAATCACACATCTGAGTCAGCCCCAGGCGAGCCTTGCAGGGCGCCGTGGCTGAGCTATGGAATTCAGGATAGGTCCCCGTTGTCATCCATCCTCCTGGTGGTCCATGGCCACCAAAATTTCCCACAGACGCCTGCAGGGGTGTGATTAGTCAGGAGCTCCTGGTTTTGCAGCATCCTGGGATTGATCCACAGACTGTAGAGGTGTCGTGGCCCCAAGGAAAAGCGTTGCACTCCGGCATTCCCATGCTGTGGAGCTGCGGCACCCGTCCCAGTGGTGGTTGCTGAGGTGGGTATTGAGTTAGAGGGGTGCATTTCCAGAGCACTGCTTGGTCACCAGCTGTTGTCCAGGACGCCGTGCCTTTTGGTACAGCAGTAAAAAAAATAAACCTTTCTCTTTGAATTTCAAGTCAGGGGCCTGTTTTCTGCCAAGCTACCCCCCACCGTTTCAAATGTATTTTATTCTCCTTTTCTTTGCACTGGTCCTGTTCCGCTCCGCTCAACAGCTGCTGCATTTAATCCCAGAAGCTGCAGTTGGTAGGGAGCAAAGTGATCTCCATATAACCTCTCTCTTACTCATAAGCGTGCATTATGAAGCTTAACCGATGGTAATAAAATGTTTTGCTTTCAACATGCTGTCCCTGTGGTCCAATGTTCCCGTCTTCAGGCTCCATCATTGCGGCGGGGCGACGTATCGGAGCTGTTCTGCCGCTCCCCAGGAACGTGCCTGGGAATACTGGATGTAGGCCTCGTGAATACCCAGCAAGGAGAGATGGAGAAGGTGGAGCAGAGCCCTTTCCATGGGTGGTGGCATGCCCGGGTGCAAGCAGCTCCTGGAGGAAGATTGTGTCTTGGCACTCAAGGCAAGAGGCGCTGGGGGTCTTGCTTGGCTGAGACCCAAGTGCAGGTTCCCGTCTCCGTGAGATTGTCTGGCACTGCAATCTGGTGTGAGAGCCTCTTCAGGGACCGCGGCGCCACGTGGGGGGAGTGGGAACAGATTGCAGTCCTGCTGCTTGGTTGGGTTTTCTTCATCCCTTTCACAACCACTCTGCAGGTTCATGGCTTCATTTGGCTTTTTGTGTTTCCTGCGTACTAAAAAAGGGCATTTTCATGCCATCCTCCATGGATGTTTTCGTCCGGGGGGCGAAAAGGATGTTTCTCATCCACATTTAAGTAACCATATAAAATGTGGAAAGTCTGCTTTAGGAATTTCAGTTTTGTTTACACACCATTGATGCTTTTATTAAAACCATCTTTTCACATATAAATAATTTAGAGGTAATATGATTTTCCTGCTCTAAACCAAAAGCAGGGATTTGAAAGCAGGGATCTCCAAGCATCATTTCTGTGTCACGGTGGGTTGCATTAGCCCTACAACTGCCTTTTGTTGAACAGGATGGGGTTTTTCCATATTTGAGGTTTACAATGTTGGGTTTCAAAGAGGAATTTCCCAGACAGAGCCCCCCAGAAGGTATCAGAATATATGACTTTGTCAGGCAACGGTAACAGCTTTTTTTCTGGAGATTGCCATTTTGTAAATAAGCTTCTTCTCCAGCAGCACAGCTACAGCTACGAAAGATGGATGATTATTTCTTTCCAGAATGGGTCTTCCGCTGCAGGATCTGGTTTTTATTGTGATAATTAGCATAGAATTAAAAATGGCCCCTCATCTTCAGTTTGCACTGTAGTGTCTCTGGTACCGAGCAGTCTGGGATGGTGTTTTCCTTGGAAATAGGCTGTGTCTGGGAATCACTTGATTCACCACTGAAAACCAGTGCACGGATATCTGCAGGCTTCAATGCAGCAAAAGCCTCTGCCTCCAAAAATAAATTATTGCTCCTAATAAACTTTCAAATCAGTTGCTTTTTGGAGACTGGAAAAGTTGCTGAGGATATTTAGGTGAAAATCTAGCGCCGTGGCTAGAGCAGATTTTATAAATGCCTTTAAATTCTGGAGCTCGGGTTAAAGGTGAGGTCACGGGCAAGCAGACAGCTTTTTCTCCTAAAAAACCTGTAATAGCTTTTCTTTTTAAAAATTTAACAGGGTTGCCACTCCAGGTGGAGGCAGAACTATAAGGAGTGTCACACACAATGACAATATATCCGTAGGAGAAACCGAGGCGGCAGAAATGCAGCACGAGGCGTAAACTTCCTGGTGAGAGCTGTGCAGGAAATTACTGTGCAATTGGACGCGGTGTCCTAGCATTAGATTTATTATCCACTTCCAAATCATCTGCCAAAAATCCTTTCAATCGGAAGACAGGAAAGAATATGTTATAAAAAGACCTAGAAAAGGAGTCATTTTGGCAAGGGAGTTTTCAGGCTGGTAATTGTCCATGCCTCTAGTCTTTGTGTTTGGGTGAGGTCAACGCTACTTCAACCAAATGTGATCCCAGTGCCTACATATGGCACATGGTGAGATGTGCCAGCCTTGCGGGATCAGTCCTGGAATGCAGTCCTGGAAGATGCTTCTTTGCCCAGTCTATTGCTCCACAATTGCTTTTAGTCCCACAAGGCTCCAGCATCACTTAGGGAAGGCCATGGTGTGCAAGCTGGCATGCTTTTCCCCCATGGTGGACTTGTTCCTTGCTGGGTGGCAGGGTCATGGCCACATCCACGTGCTGGTGTACATTCCCCAGGCCTTGCTGCTTTGGCAGCAAGGCTGGATATGTCATTCCAGAAGTTTCTTGTCTGGATGGTGGACTGAAATGGTGGTGTTTACCCACCTTGCACCTCGTTGCCCTCCTCACTCCAAGGCACTGCCCATATCACACTGCACTTCTCCAGCTTCCACGTCTTTTCCTTTCTTTCCAGTTGTGTGCCTACATCCATATCCCCTGTATGCACAACCTTGCTCTTTGCGTGTTAAATCCAGCTCTTTCTGGCAGTAATGGAAATAAGTGACGTGAGTTTGTAGCTCTGTTTTTACTCCTGGGATATTAGTGTTCCCTGCTGCTGGAAAACCCCAGTGCTTGATCCCTGATGAGAAACATGTCTGCAGCTGTACCTGCAGCATCCCCAACATATCCTGCCAGCTCCGGCTAGTTAATACTTCTGACTGAAAAAGTGCTTTCTCCATAAAAAAGATTCACACCCACCTTGGACACACCAGAGGTTTCACAGCCAGATATTGCCCAGCCAGATGTTGCCTTGTACAACACTTGGGAGAGTTGGTGGCACTGCATGCAGGGCCCAGGGAGCCACTTTGCTGTCCTGTGACCATTTTTTGGGGGTGCTTGCTGAAACATAGTGAGAACTGAAGGTTCTGCTTTGTGTAAGGATGGGGCTGGTTGATGGGGTAGTCGGTGGGAAGTGTGTGTTTACTGAGGGAAAAGGGTATGCCTGTCATTTGTTGGGATGAATCCTCCTTTCCCAGCCTCTTTCCAGGAGTGTGCTGATCCAAAGTCCTTCTCTGGAGCTTTGTTCTTCATGAAAATGAAGCTGGGCCGTTATTAACATCAGTGTTCACCAGACCGCCTTCGTTGTCTCGTCCTTGTGTTTCATTGTCCTTTGACAGGTAGGGTGATTAAGAGAAACAAGCCAGCTTAATGCATGGTCAGAAAGCTACAATTAACGAAGCAGACCACAAATAAATAGGTAAATAGGCTAAGCTGTAAGATAGCGTGTAAGAGGAGGCAGTCTGCCTCTGCAAAGTGCATGATAAGCATCGGCCAAGCTTGTTGCAGACACTGGGCAAGGCTGCTTTCGCTAGACTTTGAGTATCCTAGTTGCAAAGGCTCGTCAGTGTTCCTAAAGGCTCTTGGTTTTGGAGTGGGGTCGTCCTTTGTTTTCTGTGCGTTGTGACCACTTGCTTCCCGAGCGGGTTCGTAGTGATGGAGTTAATGGAGCTGTTCTTTATAGTAGCCTAAAAGGTGTCAGTCGTTTGCTCGTGTGTGTTCACAAGCTGAGCCGTGGCGTGATTTGAAGCACTTTTGGTGTGGCATGTGCAGTTGCAGTGCTGTCTGGTTTTAATTTCCCCCGGGGTACCCTCCCCGCGTTCCCCCGTGTTTCGGACACTGAACCAAACCGACGTTGGGACTAGCACTTTAAGTACTAGTAGTCACTTTGCTTCGGACTAAACTGAGCACTGCACTTTTGTACGTACTGTTAGCACTGAGTTTTGAACTCTCTTCTTTTCCCCATCTATTTCCCCTCCCAGGCGCAGTGTTAATTACGTAGGGGCCATCAGAAAAAAATTTTGAGGTGTGTTGGACCACTGTCCGGTGCCTGATTTCCATTACATATCCATTAGCAACCTGAGAGTAGGGAATTTACCCATCCAAGCTTATTTTACACGACAGAACCAACACCTACATCACTGATGTTCAGGCAGACATGGTGGTTGTCGTAAACTTCGAGGGCACCCGGAGACCCGAGGGCATGGCTTTTAAAAAACACCAAAGATACAGGAGAAGTCTCAAAAGGGATTGGGATGGTGCAAGATCATCTCCTTGACACCTGGAACTGAGCGGAGCAGGAGTCGCAGGGCAGACGCTCTTGTGTCTGGTGCGAGACCCCGGTTAGTCCATGGGACAGCCCAGTTCAAACCAGCCTGAGATCCTGGTACCAATAAAGGCTGAGCTCAAGCCATTGCAATAAAAGCCATCATTGTGCCTGCACTGGAAGTGCTGTTGGGATTGGTCATGGGCTTCAGCTGCAAAAGGTATTTTTAAGTAAAAAATATCTACAGACCATTTAGAAGATGGAGCACAATAACCCTGGGGTTTGCTGTTGAATTTGGAAAGCGTTGTTAGGAGTTGATCAGCTCTCGTGTTCAGAGGCAGTTCAGATGTGCTATTCCTGTTAAATTCCTGTGGTATTTCCGTATGGAAGGCCAGGGATCAGGGCTCCCTTGCCAGCAAGAAAGCAGCAGGGTAGAGTTAGTAGGAAACATAGTCAGAAATCTCTAGGATTCGAAATGTGATCCCTGGGATGCTGAATAATCTGGGTTTTGGTGTCCCAAACCACCCACTCCCAACACCTGCTAGGGTTTTGCTTCTTTAAAAGCCCCTGTGGGTTTTCCACAGCAGCAAATAAATTGTGGTGGGTGTGAGAGCCCCGTGTTCCCTTCACAGCGGGCTATCCACTCTTAGGACTGCTGCTCATCATCCTTGATGAGCCCACAGTCAATCCAAATCCTTCCCTGGCATTCCTCCATAATGGGAGTTTGGGAGTTTCTCCCTGGTGACACTTGATGGATAAACCCTGCCAGTACAGCATGATCAGTGGGAATGCAGAGAAGGGAATTAGGTCTCCTTCAGTGCTGCTAGCAGGGAGCCAGTATGGAAATAACCTTCAGCAACAAAAAGAAATGGGTGTGTTGGGTTTCCCTGTTGCAGCAGATGGAGAAGTTTTCTTAAACAGCTCCAGTTTTAGTGGCTGGTTTTCTTGGCTTCCTTCTTCAATAGACCTTCAGGGGCTTGGATATTCAGTGGGATCCCAAGATGGTTAAAAATCCCAAATCTTGAGCAACCCCAAGTATTATGCTCCTACATCCTCTATCACTGGATGTAAAAACAGAAATAAAATCCACATTTTGGGTTGGGTTTTTTCCTTCCTTCCCCCCCCCATCCCCACCAAATTATCCCTGCAAATTTAGCTTTAAAGAAATAGCACCAGGTGATGCTGCTGCTCTGTCTGAGGCCCCAAAATTGTAGTGGCTGAGGGAACAGCCTCTTCAGAAAGTACCTTGGTGACTCAGAGCCCACATCCCGCTCACTGTCACCAGGATAAAGGCAAACCATTTGGGAAATTCCCCCCTGCCAGCAAGCCCACCAGTCTCACTGGGTCCTTGAAAATAAGCTTGAGAGAAAGGGGGATGTGGAACAGGCATTTTTGGTCTTATTTTGCCCCTCAGGTGTAGTTTTTTGTCCCTTGGAGATGGCATCTCATCTTTTGGGAAGGTAGAATGAAGTGTTTTCTCCTGCCCATCACACTTGAGGCCTGAATGCAAATCCTAGCACAGCACCCTTTGCTCTGGAAGGGCCTTTTAGGTGGAAAAAAAGGATTTTTAGTTGTTTGGGTTTTCAGATAGCTCGTGGGGAAGCGGATTGTAACAGCACACAGGCGATGCTTTACCAAGCTTTTCTGTTCCTCCAAGAGAGACTTTTTAATTTGCTTCCGTAGTTTAGATTTTGTTTCCTTGAAAGTCTTTTTGGACCCATGAAAATGCACTTGAAATGAGTCAAGTTTATCAAAACAAAATTGTGCACACACCCATGCACCAGCCCGCGTGTTCGTGCTTGTCTCTGGGTGTGTATACACATAGAGAAATATATTATTTCCCAAAACATTCCTTTTTAAATCTTTTCTTTCTTTTTTTTTTTTTTTTTTTTTTTTTGGTTTTTTTGGGGTTATTTTCCCCAACCCCCAGGATATTAACCAAAAGGTGTTTTAAAGTCATGGCATGAAAACTCCTAAATGTAAATCTGAGTACCTTGTGATGCTAATTAACAGGTTTTTTCCTGAAACTTTCTGTGATGCTTAATATTTTCCTTAGGAAGTTTTGTTTAATGTTAGATCATTGTTCTGGAGGATGTTGGTCCTACTGGCATTAAACTAATGGAAATAAAATGCATGTGTTACAAGTGTAGAAACGGTGAAGAATTAAGTGTGAACTTACTGTACGATACTGATTCTGTTTTCAAACAATCTGTTTTGCTGTTCAATAGTTGACATATGGAAATGCCAATGTACTGTAATTTAGCACTTTTCCAATGGACCCTGTTCTCACTACGCCTGAGGGAAGAAGCAGGTTTGGCATGAGGCCGACTGAATGCAGCCCCTGAACCTTTTTCTGCGTGGTTTGGCACCAGAACTGGCCAGGTGGAGCTTGAATTGGAGGTTTTCTCATCGGTTCGGTGGCTGGCACAGGGCAGAGAGGAGTGGCTTTTCCATCCCCGTGGTCAAACCAGGACCATTTTGCAGCTTGGTCTGGTGAAAGGCGTCCCTGCCCATGGCAGGGAGGGTGGAATGAGATGATCTTTGGGGTCCCCTCCATTCTGGGATTCTAGGATTCTGTGATTTGGGTGCAGCCCTAGCTGTGGGTGGATGGACCGGTGGCATCACGCTCCACCAGCGCATCCCCCCGGGAGCCAGGCTGGGGTCAGGCTGTCCAAGCTGGGGTGGGAAAGCAGCCAAAGCATCCACAGTCCCTGAAATCCAAGGGCAGAAGGGACAGCTCACCAGCCACCCCTCTCCAGCCCAAACCCTCCTTTCCTAGTGCTAACAGGGTGCAAAGTGTTACTTGTCATGTACTGTACTGAAAGGGTTAATTGATCAGTGACTGTATTGTACTGTATGAAAACTCATGAATTGCCTTGTATTGTTTCTAATGGACTGTTCCATGTGTCCCCACTGCCCATTCCCAAAGGACGCATGTGCTCAGTTGGGTCCTCCAAACTCTCTGGTGCTAACTCCTCCGTATCCGATGGTGCTCCTGTGGACTCTAACTGACCACATGCCTGTCCCCAGCTTGAAGTTCACCACGTCTTTCTCGTCTGTTTGTATCAAGTCTCACACACACACACACACACACACACACGCACATATGAGAAAAATTAAGGATAAACTTGAATTTGTTTCAAAGCCTCATTGACAATCTAATGTTTTCTATGTCTGCTTTATTTTGGGATGGTTTTTCTAGAAAGCAGCCCGCCAGCACCTTCGCCCTAGGAGGGGATTTTGTCCTGTTCACTCCTCTGGCATCCGAGGTGAGCAGCTCTCTTGCTGGCTGGAGCCCCTGGAGGTTGATCCATCAGGAGCCAGCGAGGAAGAGGAGGTGCAGGTGCCTTCAAAGATGCCCAACCCTAAAAAGCAGCTGGGATCCTCATGATTGCACGATCCAAGGGATGAATCCACCCCTTGCTTTGTGGCAAAAATTGGCTTTTAAGGAGAATGGAGGTAGAAATGTAGAGTCCCAAAGGCGCCTCCATCTCCTCCCAGCATGGCTCATCTCCACTGGCAGAGGAGCCACCTCCCAGTCCTGAGGTTTTTTAGGTGACACGCGCCTTGGATGGCGTGAACAGGGCCATCCCCTCCAACCCCCCACCCCGAGGCGAGCTGCTTTTTGGACAAAATTAAATCTGACTATATTTTATATCGATTTGAAAACAAAGTCTGATATTTACCCCTGTTCTCAATTGAATTTGCATATTGTTGTTTGCCACGATATTTGTTCTGTCTTCAAATAAATTTGCTTACTTGTGTAGTCTTAACTGTCTGCTCGGATTCTTACCATCAGATTTACCCCTGCTCAGAGGTGCCTGCCTCACAGCTCTCCTTTGAGCGCTTCCCAGGGAGGCAAGAAGGAAATGTTTCCGGGAGGGGGAATCATTTCAGCCTGTAAATGTTTTTCTCTCCGTTATCTCCCATTCATCTCCCCGGGGCTTTTCAATTTGATGCCCTTTTTTCCCCCCCAGTCTTCCATCATTGGTTCCTTCTATCCGGGTAAGCGCGTGGCAGAGGAACGGCTCTGCCTCAGCCCTCCTCATTTGAACCATTGAATTGTTGCTGACACGTTTTTTCAGGGTGAGGCATTTCCGAGGGCAGTGGTTTGCATTTGGGAATGGAGGGATTTATGGCCCAGAGCTCCGGGCATCGGCGTCGGCATCCAACGCCGGCTCTTCCTGCACATCGCATTAGCCAGACCTTGGCATCAGTCACTGGAGACGTCGCGGCGGAAGGCAGTGCCCTCAAAAGGCTGGAAAACCGATTTGCACATGCGTTTCCAGGGAGGTAATCAAATCAGCCTGCAGGTTCAATAAAAGGAATAAGCAAATATTCCAGATTCGCCTGCGTTTGCAAACAAAACCTGTTGCAAGGTTTGCAGGTTTTGAGGTTACTCCCCCCCTCCCCCCCTCAAAACAGCTATTTGGGGATTAAAATTGTTCTGGACTGCTGCTGCAGGAGGATATTTTTTATTCCCTTAAAGATGCAGCTGTGTCTGAGAGGAACATTTTGGGAGGATTCTTGTGAGGGTTTGGTCACTCTCCTTTCTTTCGGAATCCATCCCTGTGCATACATTACGTCAACAGAGTCCATTTTCAGAGATTCATCTCCCTTCTCCTGGCAGCATTCCCCCTCTCTTTGCCTCTTTCCTCCCCTCTGACTTCTCCCTGGCTTTTTTTCCCAGTTTATCAAGATGTTGTAATGTTTCCTGCTGCTCCTCACAGTGCTGCCCATGGTGATAGATGCCACCACGGGAAGGAGGGAGACAAATCCTGTGGGGAAACGCTGGGAGAAAGAATCCAGGCTTCACGGAGGCTGCTGCCAGGTAGGTCTGCCCTCCAAAATGTCTTTTAGGGATCCTTATCCTCATACCCCTGGGTGGTCTGGGGCTCCCCTGCAGCCTCATGGGGTGTCAGGTGCCCTTGGAGCAGCTCCCACTGAGTTTGTGCTCCCTCAGCTGCTGGCAGAAGGAAGAACTTTACTGATTTATTTTATTTATTCATTGTGGGAGTGGGTTTTTTCCCCTCTCTAAAACACAGGAATCCAGCACCCTTTGGGAAGCAGTGGATAAGCCCAGGCAGTGCCTTCCACAGGCAGTGGTGGCCATGAGTAATTTTTTTCTGCCTCTGTTTTTCCTGTGTTTTGTACCACACCCTAAAAAGCTGAATTTCAGTGGAAAAGTCACAAGAATAAGAAAGCAAGGTACCCCATGGGGGGATTTAATGTTACACAGCCAACAGTAATGTGTTTTTTAATAAAGTGGCCTTTCATGCCTCTTCACCAGCATTGCCTTTTTAGAAGGTTCTAGCAGAGAGATGATGAGATTTTAGAGAAGGTGGTGGAAAATCCTGCCTTCATTAATTCCCTGTCGCTGAGGCTTGTCAGTTTTCCCTGCCAGGGAGCCTGATGAATGTCCCCCTCTGCTGCCGGGAGATTCCGCAGGCTCTGTCCCTGCCACTCCTTTGCAGGAAAATCCCCAGCTCATCCCAAGAGCTCCCTCTTTCCAGCAAACCACGTCGTGTTGCTCTGAGGAAGGTCCTGGCTCAGGCTGGGAGATTTTGCTGGAGCTTTGCTGAGGACCTGCCATTGGATCGATACCTCAGAAACCTCTTTATTCCTGACGGGGAGCCAAGAGAAATATCTCAGCTGGATCTTTCCATTTAAGCTTCGCCTATTAAACATTTTAATGGTGGCAAGGAATCAGTAAATAGAAACTTAGCACCAAAGCGTGCACATCCATGTGTCCGTGCTTTGTTTCCTCAAATTAAATCATGGGGAAACCTTCAGAAACTGAAAAGACAGATTAAAGCTGCTCAGCATTTGTTTTAAGGCTGGCCTCCTGAGGCTCAGGATGCCCTTTTTTGGGTCATTTTGGACAAGGCAGGGATGATTTTTACTGGGGGTGCTGCTCTCCCGTATGCTCCGGGCTGGGAAGATTTATTGTCCAATGCCACGAGGCAGGATTTGCCTTATCCCGTGGCCCTTCTCAGCTGCAGTGCCACAAACATGGAAAACATGGTTAGAAATGACCTTCTGGAAAACAAATCAGCAAATGAAACATCAAGAGGAGCATGAACAGTTCCTAGAAGCTATCTTTCCTAGAAACTGGACTGGCGAGCGATTGTCCTCCAGAGCAGTATCTACAAAGCTGTGTTTTTTGTAAATTGCTCTCTTTTACTTTTCCTAGCTGTATTTACAGTTAGAAAATTCATTTTAGGGACGCAATGTTGTGAATCCTTTAATTTTTTTCCCTCAGTTCAGGGTGAAGTCCTCAAGTCCATCTGTTTTATCCAGAGGAGTTAAGGGACCTATGACTGACATGAGTGTTCCTGGTCGGACAGCCTGAGCAGCTCCTCAGCCTTCCCATCGGACATGAAAAAAAGCACACCACATGGACTTGATCTATCTTATCCTGCTAAAAATCCCAGGGAAGTTTTCCCTCAGGGGTCTCCTTCAATCCCAGTCCTTTCTGCCTGGGCTGGGCACTCCAGATTGTGGCAGTGTCGTAGCCTCAGTTACTGCATCTCTGTCGTGATAGTACTGCTCCATTTGGGTATAGGGGAGACAGCAGAACGAGTCCGAAGGAGATTATATAAATAAAGAGCAGCAAGGAGGAATTTCTGCAGGTCTGTCACAGTTTAAAGCTGAGGGCAAGACGAGTGCCAGATTGTAGCAAATGTATTAATTTTGATTGCTTATATTCACTAATCATGTGTCCTATTTAGTACATCATCGTACGCGTGCTCCTGTAGTCATTAGTGCTCCACAGTATTTCACGGGAATATGGCGAAAGGAATTAATACCGCGCACTTATTGAAATGCAGACAGGGATTGTCACATTCCCGGGCCCGACAGCGGGTGAAGAACCTTTGATTTTATCCTTTTTCCTCGGCGGGAGGGGAGCATTTATTCCTTTTTCCTGGGCCGGGGCGAAGGCGGAGGAGCGGAGCCGGGAGGGGGCGTGGCCACGGCGGAGGGGCGTGGCCAGCGGGGAGGGGCGTGGCTCTGAGGCCGACTCCGCGCGCCGGAAGCGGCGGCGTGCGGCGCGCGCGGCCGTGGGCGTGGCCGGAAGTGCGCAGCAGCCGCGGCAGGCGGGGGGCGCCGCCATTACGCGGAGCGGAGCAGCCCCGAGCGGGCCGCGCGTCCCCGGCCGCCGCCGGCACCCACAGGCGGGCCCGGGCCTCGGGGGGCCCGCCCGGCCCCCCTCGCCATGGAGGAGAAGGGCTTCGCCAAGGAGCTGGACCAGTGGATCGAGCAGCTGAACGAGTGCCGGCAGCTGAGCGAGAGCCAGGTCCGCAGCCTGTGCGAGAAGGTGAGTGCGGGGCCCGGACGTTGGGAGGGCGGGACGGTGCCCGCGATGTGTCCGGCGTTGGGAGACCGGCTTGTGGCCGCGGGGATACCGGGCTCTGGGGGGCGGGGTGGTGCCTGTGGCATACCGGGCGTGGAGAGAGCGGGGATAGCGAGTTTTGGGAGGCAGGGATGCGGCTGCTGGGATGTCGGGAGCTGGGAAAGCGGGGGGTGCTTGTGGGGTGTTGGCATTGGGAAAGCGGCTGGTGCCTGTGGGTTTTGGGAGAGCGGGATGGCGCCTGTGGGATATCCGCCATTGGATGTTTGGGGTGGTGGCTGTTAGAGTGGACGTGGGGTGACCAGGGTGCTCCCTCTGGAGCGTCCCGCGCTGGGACACCGGGGTGGTGCCCCTGGAGTATCCGATGTCCTGGTGTCCTACACAGCATGGAGGAGCCAGGCGCTGAAAAATCAACCCCAAGTCAGTGAGGAAGCCCGCTGACTTCCGAGGTGGGATCTCGGGAAGCAGAGGTGAGCCGCAAACAGGCTCGCAGCCTGCTGAGGCGACCAAAATAGAAAGAGGAATGGTCGGATAAAGGACACTGTCCGCTGTTCTGGGCTGCGGTATGGACAGGCCTTGGCAAACGTGTGCTTGGATTTGTTTAGTGGGCACTGGGAAAAGCCTTTTTTTCCCATCGGGAGAAAGAAAGGTCCTTAGACTTGTGCTGGCTGTTGTAGACTTGTACTGAGCAGTCCAGTAGTACTTTGTGAACACTCCCTCAGCACTGCAGTCTGTGACCAAGGGAAGATTTTCCTTGGCATGTTTTTCCAACAGTGATCCTGACACTCCCTAACCCCCCCACAGCTTCTGTTTTCTTCCTTTTTGTTTTCTCAGACCCGTGCTGGGGCCATCCGTTTGGTTTGTGACTCTTTTCTCCAGAGCTCCATCAGTGGTGAGGGAGCTGTGGCTCTTTAGGAGGCTGGAATGGTGGCTGCTGTGTTTTGGGAAGCTGAAGGCTGACAGGAGAGCTCAGCTGTAGGTGGGGAGGGTGTTTGTCCTTCAGGAAGCAGGTGACAGGGAGGTGTGTCATCTGTCACAGCACCTCGTTCTTCCAGGCTGCTGGAAACTGAGGGAAACGGCTGGGGCATGAAGGAAACACTGTGCCCTGCACTGACTTGGCTTGTTTAAGTTTTGGGGAGTGGTTGTGTCACCCAGGAGAGGAGCTTACAAAAACCTCTGGGTGTGCAGCCCTGCCACAAAGCTGGTTTAGTTGGTTTCCTTGAAATTATATTTGGAGGAATCCTCTTCTCCAGAACACTTTGTAGCACTCTTGTTTTTGGGGCTGATTTCAGAGACGCCCAGGACAGCAGTACCTTTTGCCTCAGGTTTCAAGTTGTGGAAGAACTCAGTACTAAAACAAAAAAATCAAAATGAAGGAAAAAAAAAAATAATCCCAGAGCTATCTGTTTGGATCATTTTTGGTTTTAGGTACTGGCGTAGAGGGCAGTGATGAGGGGAGGATTCGACACAATAAAGGTGTGCCCAGTGATTGTGCACTCTTAAAAGTTGTTGAAATTTGCAGCTGAGGTGGTGACATTCTGTCCTCACCTGCCCAGTGGCAACCTCCTTAGGCAGCTGATCAGCCCCCTGTGGCTCCTGCAGGTGAGGGAGGTGCTGTTCCTCAATGTGATAACCTTGTTCCCATTCTCTTGGTGTTTAAAAGGGAAATTAGCTCAAATCCTGCAGAAATTCGGAGGCTGATAGAAGGAATCATTCTGGTCACTGCTCGAGCTTCCACGTTTGGGGTGCAGGTCAGGGAGTTTACTTAATCCAGGCAAAAGGGTTTTTCATCAAGATGATCAAATGGGCTGTGGAAGAAGGCAGGGAAAAGGCTGCCTCCTGAATTAAACAAGCAGCCATCCATGACCATCCCTCTCCTTCCAGCTTTTCTTTCCTCTCCTGGTTCCTTGGAGGTGTGAGAGGGGACACAGGAAATTCCCTGTGTTGTGTTGTGGCTGGCAGTGTTTTATCTCTCTGTTGGTGATGCTCATCCAGGGGGGTGCTGGATCAGGTGCCTCAGGGAGCAGCTGGGCACCTCGGCAGAGGCTCTGGGTGCCTCATTCCTGAAGGGTGAGACAGCTCCATCCCTGCCATCCCTCTGGCTTCCATCTCACTTGGCTGGTTGGCATTCCAGCCAAGCTCCCTGAGGTTCAATAGCCTCAGCCCACTTGTTGGTACAGTAGTTTGGTCTGTGGCCATTGGTGGGATGAAGGTTCAGGTGAATTTTGATCCCCAACTCCACGCCTGGCTTCAGGTTCCCAGAGAATGAGACTCTATGGGTCAGACCAAGCTGAGGGAATTAAGTCTTCCTGAAGGAATGGAGTTTCCTCTCTCTCCGAGGCTCTTCAGAAGCACACCAGGAGTTGAGCACAGACAGGCAACCATTGGTTCAGTTTACTTAATACAAGGGAGGTTTATTTAACAAAAACACCTAAAGACTGCTGCTTTTTGTCCTGACCTGGATATGGTTTTCATCCAGCACAAGTGGGACAGATGCACAGGAGGCTGATACCATTAGTCACTGTTTTCTGCAACAAAGGTAGCTAAATTTTGACTTCTAAGTCATAGTTATTTATTAGCCTCCTGGATTAAGTAAGTGCTGATGATGCCAGGCAGCCTGCTTGCATCAGAGGTTTTTATTTTTGCTTTGTAATAGTGCTTTTTATTTTAAGTAATTTGATTTCAGTGTTCACACTGCAGGCAGATGCGCTGGTTAGTCACTGCTTTTCTGGGGTGTTTTTATCGATGCTGAGCATTTTGCAAGTCTTGTTCTGCATGAGAAGATCATCATGTGAGGGCAAACTGGGGCTGGCTCGGCAGAGTTCAAATGACAGCCTGGATCTGTCCACGTGCACCGATGGGTGTCCACAGTGTGAGCTAAAACGGGCTGCAGGGGAACAGCTGCTTGGCAGCGGAAGGAGCCACTCCTGTCACCTGCCAGCTCCTCCTCCCTCATCAGGGGAAACTTCTGGATTCTCCTAGCACCAACATTTCAGGCCGTGGGCTGGCCCCCATTCCTAGGGTAGGTTTAAAATGAGCCCGTTTGCCCTGTTCCTGTGGAAGAGGAGCACTGCTGAGCTCCAGCTTGGAACAAACCCCTGCCTGTTGCTTTGTGCAACAGCCAGAACACACGGAGCAGCTGTTTTGTGGGTTTATATTTGTCTCTCCCAGAGGGTGGAAGCTCTCAGAAGGCACTATAAATGCTTTTAAAGACGTGCGAGCAGAATTTGAGTGCTACTACTGCACTCAAATACAACATGTTCTGCAGTTCCCAGTCATGCCAGAAATGCAAGGCAGAGCCCAACTCATCAAATCCATGGGCAGGATGTGACTTTTAGGATCCCTCAGGTTAGGTTCTGTGCAGAGAGCATGTTGGATGCAGCCCAAACTGTCCAAACTGCTTGGGGTGTAGTTACTCCTTCCAAATACATATTTTTCCTAAAAGAGGCAAGGCAGCAAGCACTGGAATGGGAATGTGGTCATCCTCAGGAAGCCCACAGAGGGTATCATTTGGAAGCGGTTCCAATTCTGGCAGCATAGGGTGAACCTGAGCTAAGGGATATGGCAGGGAATACCCAGATCATCACCTGCTGGTGATTGCTCAGTGTTGGTGATCTTCCAGCCCTTTTCTTTGGATCAGATGGAGCCATCCTGTGGGTGTTCCCTGTGCCTCAGATGTGCCAGGAGCGCTGTTCAGCATCAGTCAGTGAGCTGCAGGCAGCACAACAGACCTGGTATTTGATAAGGATAATAAGGTGGTGCAGATAGGCTACATTGCATGGTTGTAATTAGCAGAGGAACTGCTGGGTGTGGGAGTAGAGATGACTAAATCCAGGGATGCCATCCCTCCATCTGTGGTCGTTTTGTTGCCAGCTGGGCACAGCCAGGGAAGCTGGTTGTGGCTCCGTATGTTCCAATTGCCTCTGTCTCTGCTTTCCAGTTGTAAGTGACTAGCCCGTAGAAGTTGCTGAACTGTTGTGCCTGGAAGAGGATTGGAATTCTGATGGGTTAAATGTACCCTGGGCAAGGGCATGTGGCCTTGCTGTAGTAAAGGATGGCCTGTTCATCCCTGTGCACTGGGATTTGGGAAACACCCCTTGTCTGTGCTCACCCACCAAACTTTTTCCAGTGGTTGACTTGAGCAGCGGGGATGAAACTGGGTTTCCAGTGGGAATGCAGCAGAATAACATCACCTGCTTCTGGAGGAGCTTCCTACCTTGTTGTCCTAAACATGCTTTCCTTGCCAGGCTAAAGAAATCCTTACAAAGGAAT